CCAGGCGGCCCCCAGAGGTTCCACGGCCCCTCTGGGTGGTGGGGAGCTGCTCTCGAAGGCTGTAGAAAACCAAATGCCCTTGGGCTGTCTCACCAGGGTTTCTGTTTGAGGCTTAAGAAATCGCCTGGGCCCTCACGGGCAGTTGCTGCCTGAATGGGGGACAGGCGGCAAGGGCGGGGCAGCCCTGGCAATGGGGCAAGCACGGGTGAGAAGCCACAGCAACCCCTCTATATCTCAAATGAGTATCCCCCCCGCCCCCGAGACGCAGCACACACCTGGCCCCCATTGTATGACTAGCTCCCCAGTGACGGTGATGAGTAACTGCCGCTGCCCTGGGAGCAGCCGTGCCTGCAGGGTCAGACTGGGAGCGGACTGACCTTGGGCACATTTCTTAACCCCTCCATGCCTCAGTTTCTTCATCTGTAAAATGGGGCTTTACTAGTGCCTGCTTCAAAGGTGGCTGTAAGGATTAAAGGAGAGGATAGAGACGCAGGCACAGGCCCGAGAAGAGTGCCTGACACCAGCCGGTGACAGGCCGCTGGTGGGGAAGGGGGTGTGAGGAGCCTCGGAATTGTCTGAAATGAATTACGTGTGTGCTTTTGCACTGTCTCCACATTTTTGCTATTTGAAGCAACCCTGTGATGAACATCTGTGTGCAGAGAACATTTTGTTTCTTTCGGATTATTTCCCTAGAAAGGATGCTCCTAGAAACCGAATTACTGGTCAAAGGCGAGGGATATTTTGGGCCTTTTGTTACACTTTGCTTAATTGTTTTCCAGACAGGCCACTGGCTTCCCAGCCACCAGCCATGTGGGAAGCATCGCTCGCTCTAAGCCATGAAGGGCTAGGTCCTGGGAGTACTGTGGGGGCTGGTGGGGCTGGTGGGGCTGGTGGGGCACAGTTCAGACACCGACTATGGGAAGGGCCCTTGAGGACTGTTAGAGTCCCAGCCGACCCCTCCCTCCAAGAGCTCCCAGGATGGACCCAGGTGGTGACCCACCAGTGTGCAGGGCTGTGTGCCCTGGGTGGTTGGTCCCCAGTCAAAATTCCTTTCAGGAGCCCACGGCACTGTAACCCTGCAAGTTCCTTTATCACAGGGAAAAAAAATAAGGAGGGAGTTCTGGGGTGCCCTTTCTAGAAAGTTTTCCCTTATTTGTCACGACTATAAACAACGATGTTTGCAAAGCCTCTGCAGGAAGTGCCCGGCTTGCTCTGACCTCTGCTACCAAAGGGCAGACAGGCAGCCGCCTTGGGCCCTTACGATTGGCTGATGTCCCTGCCCATCAGATCTGCCCTCGGTCCTCCTTGCTTCTTTTTATTTTTAAATTTGTATTTACTGGAGAGAGAGAGAGAAGGACTTTCAAGCAACGGGGAGAGCACAGGCCATGGCACAAACACAAGAGAGCGTGTGGCACTTCTGTGTGTGTGGCCGTTTGCACTGTCCACCCAGCGGAGTGACGGGGAAAGCCCGACGTTCACTGTCCGCGGTCCTTACTACCTGCAGTCTTGTGAGGTCGCTGTCACCAACATTTCCCCTGAGAAACCCGAGGTGTGGGAGGGGCCTCCCATACAGAGGAGCACTGAGACTGCCCCTGACCCCCTGCTGACGAGGCGCATGACAATGCCCTCAACGGGAAAAGATGAGATCCGGGGCCAAAGAACCCTAATCGGGAATGGGATCAGTCGGACACAGCTCACTGCCCACTGCAGAAAGCGAGTTCGAGCCAGGACTGGAGGGAGGAAGGAACCAGGTCACAGCTCGGGAGAGACCGAGAGCAGCTGCAAGCATGGCTGGATCCAGGTGCTTCAGAGTCATTAGACTTGTGTCTTTCTCCGGCTTTCGACTCCCTTTTACACCGTGTTGACTTCATCCTCCGTTGGGGTCTCCCCAGGGTGCCACCGGCACTCCCAGCTACCACCTTAGTAGCCCCGCAGGAAACACGTCCCCTGCCTCCGGCCTTGACAGCACGTCTCGGGCTCAGGTCTCATTGGCTGGGATGGGTCACGCATGTGCCTTTGAACCCACACCTGGAGCCGGGGCAAAGAAGCAGAGGGCACCGCCATCATGCCCACATAGGCCAAGAGTGGGGTAGTTTGGGTCCCCAAGAAAAACCAATGTGCTGTTCCCAAGGGGAAGGGGATGGGGGACGGGGAGGTGAGAGTGACGGGTGCTCACCACAGGTGCACACTGAGCGGACGCTGAGATCTCCGAGAACCTCATTAAACTCCCTTCGGTTAAGTGTCTGGGCCCAGGGCACAGACGGGCCACGGGCCCATGAAGCGGGTCAAGTGCTATCAAACCTACTCGGAGGTCCAGAAGTGCACAGTGTGATGGAGTCCACACCGTGTGGGAAGCCAGCTCGGGGGCTGGTCCCACCTCTCGCGTGGCAGGGATGGCGAGCTAAGTGAGGGAGGAGGGGCCCCGTGCCGCTGGACTTAGGTTAACTGGTGTTCACTGTGCGGGTTCCAAAGTTTTCATAACAGGGTCAAATCCATAGGGTGAGGAAGAAAGAGAAGGGGGCGAGGAAAGGCAACTCAAGACAAGACAAGAGAAATTTGAGAAAAGGAGGGGCAAATATAGAACACAAAATCACACTGAAGAAATCCATCAGACTAGATCAGCAATCACAGCACAGGTCCATGGAGCGGCCGGGACAATGAAAACAGTGAAGATTGTCAGACGTGATATTTTATATCTAAACAAACATTTCTTGTCACAAGAGATAGACATAAGGAAACAAACGTGTTAAAAGTATAAGGAAAGAAAAATAAGATAAACTAGGCAAATATTAACCGAAGAAACATATGGGTAGCTAAATTCATGTTAAACATAGTGAACCATAAGCAAAAAAGTGTTACTCAAGATAAAGATGGTCACATTTTTAAAGGTTCCATTCACCAGAAACAAGATAATTCTAAACTTGTATGTACCAAGTCAACTGGCTTCGAAAATGTGTAAAATGGACAGCACTAAATTAATCATTAACATCATGAATAATATTAAGAATGAAAGGGTAACACTGTTACAGACGTTGCAGAGAGGAAGAGTGCTGGGAACACGGGGCGATTTTATGCCCCATACAAGGGAAAATGCGGATGCCGAGAACTGTCTTTGATCATTTCACTTGCCCAGTGAAAGTCACTTTATCGGAGCCCCAGGCTCCGTCTGGAATGTTAGTGCAAGGGCAGATACCTGCCTGCCTGGCCAAATATGTACACTGCCAACACGAGAACGATGCCAGCCTCCGGAGGGCCAGGGGTATGACCTTGAGGTCCAGGTGGGGCTCAGTGTTCTGTGGAGGGAGGGCCCCAAACCGCCAGGGAGAGCTGGGGCCCTCAGTGTTCCAGGAGGCGTGGGCCCCGGCTGTGGCCTAGTGTGCAAAGCCTTGCAAAGTCAGGCACCCAGATCTGCAGCTCCCACCTGAGGGACCCTGAGGGGAAGTTCTCCTTCTCTCCACCTGGAGAGGAAAAGAAATAGGGAGTTTGACTCTCTTGGTGGCTTAAGAGACAGTGGCTGGAGCTGAGGCCACACAGAGCCTCATGGGATGGCCAGGGGAACCAGGACGGGCCTCGGCGCCACATGACGGGCAGCTCCCAGCTTGACAGTAGACCAGGAAAGTTACCCCTCCAGCCTGGCAGGGAAGGGAGAAATGAGGCAGCATTTGTGGCCTTAGAGTCTGGATCTTGACTTGCCTTGGAGCTGCAGGTCCGCCTGACAGAGTCTCTGGGGACACCATGTCATGCTCAGCATCTCCGTGTTTGGGCCCAGGGAGAGCTGGGACAGGCCGGGACTTGTGGCAGCACTTCCCACACCAGAGTCACCTGTAAATCCTCTCCCGTCCAGCTCGGCGCCCTCCCTGACCTGCGTTATAGATGCACTTGAATGTCTGCACCAACTCTCCGTTTGCACTGAAAGGCATGCATGACAAATCTCTATATTGTCACCGTAAGTGGATATGCAGTATCACTTGAGGAAAACAAGTACTCGTGAATGTGAGCGGCAATCACACAAAATAATGCCATCAGTTCGTCTGGATCCAGCTGCCAGAATGGAGCTCTCGGCCTACGCCCTGCTCTCGGCCGTGAAGGGAGAGGCAGGAGCCAGGCCCTGAAACACAGGCACTTTCACTGAGCCTTTCCCTCCGACATTCTGAGGCTCACGGTATGAATGAGAAAGGAATCCCAGCGAATGTCACCGCAGGGAAAGCAGGTCTGCCACCCACGTCTCGGCAGGCCACAGGGCGAAGGGGCTTTGCAGGCCCGGAAGTGAGGGGAATCCCCTGCTTCCTGAAAATGTGTGTCAAATATTTTGTGAAAAAACCATCCTACCAAGCGTTTGGCTTGTGCACCTTCAGTACCTTCTCCTTTGGTCAGATTGACCTTAACTGAGGACCTACTAAGTGCTAACCACACAGCAGTTTGGAAGACAAGTGCCTTGCCTTTTGGGGAGCAGACATTGTAGTGGAGAGACAGAGTTGTTCACGATGGATTTTGACGCAAGGGCCTGAATGAATGCTTGCGTCAACTCCTCCCAACCTTCCCCCAGTTCATGCCAGGTGTGCTATAGGTGCTCAGGAATCACTTTGTTAAGATTCAAAAGTGGCAAGCACTAATTGGGGTCCTACTACGAGCCAGACATTAGAATACTTACTCTTTTCAAGAATCGGAAAAGCTGCCAGATAAAGAATATATATAAATATACACATACACAATAGATCATCTCTTAAAGATCGTTAACTTTTTACACCTCCATATGAGGCTCAGAGGTGTTAAGTCATTTGACCAAGGGCACACAGCAAGTTAGAAGCAGACTTGGGATTTGAAAGCAGGTCCCCAGGTCTCCAGAATGCTCCCCATTGTGGGCTGAGGGAAGAAGTTCCCACTGTGGGAACATGGGAGGGTGGCTGCCCTTCCTGGGGCCTGGCTTAGGAAAAGCAGAGGCCAGCAGCTGGCCCCACTATAGGTCACCTCAGCCCTGACCTGTGCTTGTGTCTCCTCAGGAAGCCCAAGCTGTCCTGTACCACGTGCTCCAGCAACCTTCTGAGCTGCTGCAAGAGTCTGTGGGGCCTTCGGTTCCTCCAGGCACGAGGGAGGCCCCTTGGAGGAGCAGCCGACGTGGATGCCACCCAAGGAAGCGGTGAGGACGCTGCCCTCCCAGTCTGTCTAGACCCGGCCCTGGGACATTGATGATACTGCTCCCTGGTCACCAAGATGTAACTCCGGGAGCCACAAAGGGGCCAGCAGCCCCCAAAGCCACCTAGGATGCACCCCAGCCTACATCTGGGGACTCCCGGAGCACACGGTGGGGGGTGCCGGGCTCCTCAGGCCTGGGCGGAGCAGCCTGTCTGCACTCAGCCTTCCCAGAGAGGTGTCCAGGGCCCCTGTGGGTCCCGAGCTCACGTTGGTGCTGGCCCTGAGTTCTGAGCAGAGACAGGGGACACTCAGGGTATGTGCACATGTGTGCGTGGATGTGCCTGCGCCCTCGGAGCACAGCAGCCGGTGTTGCCAGAGGCATTGGCCTCTTGCTCCCGGTGGGTTCTGCAGGATGGAGGAAAGTAAAAGAGGGGGAAGGGAAAGGAAAGGAGGAAATCAGTCTTCTCGGCTCCTGCTGTGAGTGACGTACCTCACTTGCATGGGTTCCTGCAACTCTCATCGCCTGCGACAAGGGTCACCAGCCCTACTTTGCAGAGGTGGAAACTGAGGCTCAGAGAAGCAGGGGCCTGCCCAAGGCCACTCAGCTGGAACACGTGCCTGCCGTACGGGAGGTGTCGAAGGAATGAGTGAATGAACGGACAATCAGGACGATGGGTGAAAAGCCAGGCCTCAAGCCCATGTCCTTGACGCAACACTACACCGCCTCTCGGGAGAGAGGTCGAAATGTTCCCTCCACTGAACCCACTCAGCCGGGTGCAGAGCAGAGCCTGGGGCCCTCACACTGCAGCGTGAGTGGACTCGTGGGGGGAAGGCATGCGGGGTGTCAGAGAGGGCGGGGTGGAGGGGGGGAACGTGAGCAGGGCAGACCCTGCAGCACCCTCTGCTGGGATGCATGACCTTGACTGAGGCAGGGGACTCTCTGAGCATCTCTACTCCTCTGTCCTAGGGGGTGAGCTCCCCTGTCCTCTTTACAGGGTGTTGAAGACACCCAAGGAGGTGGGTGGTGACAGCCCTAGAGAGGTGAGGGTGTCCCTGGATTCTCCTCACTCACCACCGCCCCTCCCTGAACCACTCTTCCCCTCGTTCCAAGAACCCCTCCTGGTGTCCCCTCCTTGCCCACTTGTCCTCTCCTGGCCATCAGTGTGGCTGCTCCCGGAGCCTCCTCACAGCAATTTTCCCCCTCTGTGGCCTCCTTGACACTGAAGTTACCCAGAGACTTATTTCTGAACAGACCCCTCTGGGAGCTGCCCCCCACTGCTGCCTACGCAACACCTTCACCTGGGTGTCTCGACTGCCCTTGACCTTCTCCTCACACCTGCTCCTGTCCCAGGGTTCCCTGTCTCGGACTTCAAAGACTGCGGGTCAGTCCTGGCATTCTCCCCACCTGGCCTGTCATCGCCCCGTCCCACTGCTGTCCCCTCTCTCAGGACCGTTGGAACAGCTTCCTGATAGCCCTGGGAGTTCCTCGCCCTCCTTCCTCCCGTCCACGCCCCACCCACAGCCGGTGCAAAGGGAAACCTGGCTGTGTTGCACACAGAGGAAACCGTCTCTCGCACGGCTACCGTTTGGTCCACCTGCCAGGCCAGGAGCTGTTTGCACAACTTGAAACACTCTTCCTGCCCTTTCAGCTGCAACATCTCAGCCGAAAAAGCGCTTTTGAGGAAGTGTCCCCAGCCTCCCCATCAGGCCGTGCCTGGCACACGGCCCTGAACTATCCTCAGGAGATGTTGGCATAGTCATAATGCATAGTGTGACTTCCTGGCCTGTCTGTTCAGGAGGTCATGGGCCCCGCCTGGGTCTGCTGACCACTTTATGTCCAGCCCCTAGAAGACCGTTAGGCACATAGTAGGAGTTTTATGCAGCTTGTCTGCCAATACACCCAAAGGCATGACCTTCCCTGATGGCAGCAGTTACTCAGTCTCTTGGTTGGATTCCCCTGAAAGATACCCCCCAAATCTCCTCCTTGGAAGTTTTGCCAAGAGTCTAAAGCAGGTGGGTCTCTAAGTCATGGCCAAGTAGTCGGAGGCATAAGGCTGGTCTGGCTGATCACGGACTCAGCTGGTCGGGGCTGAGGTCAAGGTGCCCACTTGTCACCGCAGGGGCCTCCTTCAGGCCTGTCTCTGCGCTGCCCCTGCCTTACGGGAGGCCCCCCAGTGCCTGTGCTAGCTGCAGAAGCAGGGCACAGGTCGCCTGCAGGAGGACCATCTGCGGTGGCCCCCAAATCCACGGCTCGTGTTTCCGTGATATTCCAATAAAGATACAAAACAACCGATGCTGCCATGCGATTGTATCTTTTAACTTCCTGTGAGGAAATACTCCCCAAGGGTCATCAGACAATGTGACTCGATTTAGAAAAAGAATTCTGATAAAATTCTTTTTCCTAGAAAAAGGCAACTTTTTCTATGCAAAAGTTTCTGTGGGGTAGAGGCCAACTTAGAAGTTGCCCTGAAAAGTAAAGACATTCCCAGGAAACTACATTCCACCTGAAAACGCCACAACGGAAACGAGGGACAAGCTGGTCGGAAGGATCGGGCCTTGGTGGTGCTCACCTGGTGAGCCAGGTGCGCCATAGGCGCTCAGTAAGTGTTTGTGGAAGGGAACGTCTCCGAGGTTGTCAGCTTCAGAGACCCCTCTGTTAATCAGGAGAAAAGGATACCTTTGGACTGGAACCCTGTCAATTGAAGAAGTCTGTGGTCGAGAGTAGGCAGGCGACGCTCAGGGAGGAAATCGGGTCCAGGGAAATGCGCAGTTTCTGTGCGAGGACTGAATCCCAAAGGGAGCAGTGGAAGGGTCTGGCAAATGCGGGGATGAAGCTGATCGGAGCTGAGGTCATGGCCGGATGACCACAGTGTCAGCAGTGAGCAGGGTCCCCTGGGGGGTGAGGGGGTCCTTGAGGAAGATGCAGAAAGGACACAGGGTGACGATGGTGCGTGGGAGGCGGAGGAGAGGCCCTGAGCCTCCACAGCGAAGGCCTGTGGGAGCTGTTGGGCCCGAGTTTCGACACCACTGGGCAGAGGCGGGACAAAGCCACGTGCAGGGTGCCCAGGGAGAGAGGGAAGCAGCACATTGAGCCTGCAGATGGTGCTGAGCGGATCTAGGTGCCCCTGAAGTGTAATCCAGGGGGCAACGAATGTGGAGCACTTTACCGGCAACCAGCCAGGACTGGAAGCCCGGGGAGTCCAGTTTGCAGAATCCCGTTCTGACAGATTTCGACTGCACCCGCAGGAAGTGGGAGAGAAGCAAAGCCATCACTGCTGAGGAGCGAAGGGGGCAGTGGGAGGAGCGGCCGGGACAGGGCAGCCTCAGGGCCACCACGAGGAGCAGCATCAGGAAAGTTGGCTCATCCCATGAGTCTCGAATGGGAGAGCTTTGAAAGGTCTCTGTCAGGATGGGGCCAAAATGATGAGGTCTGTGCTATGAAGAGATCATTCAGACCCTGGTTTGGAAAATGAATTGGGGGAGCAGGGGGCAGAGTGTGAGCAGCCCCACTGCAGGGGAGGGTCCCTGGTCCCATCCGAGGAGGACACGCTCCAAACTCCACTGCAGACCTCGCCCTCCGTGCTGGGGCCCCACAGGAACCAGACTCTCCCTGCCCTCCAGAGGGCCTGACTTGCACCTGGACATCGGCAGGAAATCAGGGAAGAACCGGGACACGGAGCCCATGTGGAAGTCACCGAGGGCAGGAACAAGGCACAGTGTGTGGCAGGTGGGCCACGGCAGCCATGAGCTCCCAAAGGGGGCCGTTCCTGGCGCACACAGGGCTGGCTGTGTTTAAACTCGGGGCAGAAGCGCGGTGGGTGGCGGGGGTGCTCAGCAGCCCGGACTGAGGGGATCTGTGTAGAACCCCATCTCACATTTGCTTATTAGCCTTTGCCATCTGGTCCTGGGCACTACTAGCCTTGGAGGAAGGTTTGCCGCCTTTATTGTGCTTTTGCGGGAGCTCCTTCCAAGTCGTTCATGCAGGAAATGACAGCGAGGACGCACATCTCCCACCGGAACCCCAACCATGCCAGTGGTGACTCAGGAACCTTCAACGGTCACTAACGGCTGCAGGGTGGCTGGGAGGAGGCCCCCTCCCGGCTGCCACCCGCCCCTGCCAGCAGCTCTAAGGGGCTCTTAATTTATTATTTTGGAGGTCATCACAGATGCCGGTGCCAAGTCCTTGACCTCCCTACTCCAGGTCACGCAGCACAGCATGCTTCTCACGCCCCGAGATACCTCTGTGCAGAGCACTGGCCGGGCTGGACCGCCTCCCTCACTCCCTGGGGCTGTGCCAAGGCTCTCATGTGCCCTGTGGGCCTGGCAGGAGTCCTAAGGAAATGGCCCCAGAATGACATGCAGTCTGGGCAGCGTGACTCCCAGATAAACCTGTCCCTCACTTTCAAGTGACATTTACATTTAGGCGCCGATCCCTGAACCCAGATGTTAGGTCTGCCCCTCCACGGGGGCAGGGGATGAGGCGGAGTGAATGCAGCCCCCCCTCCTGCCAGGCAGGGGTCTGCACCCCCAGCAACCGAGCCTGAACACGGAGTGCCGAAGTTCAACACCCAAGTGACGTAGCCAGGGTTCCAACCCAGAACCTCTTGTCTCCAAAGTCCTGTCTTCTCTTTATCAGGCAGATTCTAAAATTAATTTTTAAGGGTGAGGCAACATAGAAATACAGCTGCCTCTCTTCAAAATTGTGACCTGACCGAGAAAGCCCGAGTTCCTTGGCCACACAACCCCCTCCTTCACCCCCAGCGGCTTCCCCTGAGGCCTCCGTACGCCCCAGTTTGATGAATGGGCCTTGGTTCCTTTATCTCTGGTTATCATCAGAAAAGTAATGTTGCATTTAATGAACTGACCTCAGTCACTCCCCTCCAGTGTCACAGTGGGGTGACTGCCACAGGCTGCGCCAGGCCCTCGGCGCCCCACGGCTCATTTTGCTGTCCCCTCGGCTGTAGGCTGTAGAGTCGTTTCTAACTTTTAGCTGTTTAAGCACAAATGTGCTGATCACATGACAATGTTTCTTTGCGCACATGTGTGAGTGGGTTTTGTGGTGATGGGGGGGTCACACACGGGCGTGTGTGCTCAGCACACCAACACGTGTATTCTGGGTGAGGGGGGGGGGGTTGTGCTGCTGATGGGCCCTCCTGAGAGGCATGGCTGGGTCAAGCTCCCACCCACCGCACCGGGGCTTGGGGGCTGGCTCCCCACAGCCCCACCGCCCCACCTGTGTCTTTTCTACCATGTCCATGGCCTCATTCATCCCCTAGAGCAAGGGTGTCCAACCTTTTGGCATCTCTGGGCCACACCGGAAGAAGGGTTGTCTTGGGCCACACGTTAAATACATCGTGACATGTAATCACAGAATATCTCGTGCTGTTTTAAGTAAATGAACGATTCCATGTTGGGCCGAATTCATAGCCTTCCTGGGCTGTGTGCGACCCCTGGGCCGCAGGTCAGACACCTGTGCCCTGGAGGTTTTGGAGCATCCCCCCTAGAGCCGCCCCACCTCCAGTGAGTGCAGGACAGGACGCTGAGGTGGGCGAGGTCCTCGGAGCCTTCCCTGGGCTCACCCCAGGCCTTCCAGGAGCTGCATCCAGTCCTGCCCTCCTCCCGGTGTCTGTGCAGGAAGCCGGCCCTGCCCGGGTCACACGGCCGGGGAGAGGCTGTGCCCACTAACAACGGCCACAGCAGTGCTGCTGCGCGACAGACATCCACGGACTCTCGGCACAGGACAGCACAGCTTTATTTAGCCCGCACACCTGTCCCCGCCCTGCTCCCTAGAACAGCTATCGCCTCCTCCCTGGCGCATCCTTTATCACAGGACACATCTCACGC